TTTTTTTTTAATAAAATGCATCTATTTTGTTAGAGATACAACTCTAGTGTAAATTATTCAATAATGTACAACTGTAAGAATTTAAGAGACAATTCCACCTTGCCTTTTTAAGATGTAACCCTAGTAGCTTTAATCTATATATTTAATTTTTTTTTTTTTTGGAGACAGAGTCTCAAGCTGTCTCCCTGAGTAAAATGCCATGGCATGACAGCTCACAGCAACCTCAAACTCTTGGGCTTAAGTAATTCTTTTGCCTCAGCCTCCTGAGTAGCTGGGACTACAGGCACCTGCCATAACGCCCAGCTATTTTTTGTTGCAGTTGCCACTGCTGTTTTAGCTGGTCAGGGCCGGGCTCAAACCCACCATCCTTGGTATATGGGGCTGGCACCCCACCCACTGAGTCACAGGTGCCACCCCAATATATAATTTTTTTTTGCAGTTTTTGGCCAGGGCTGGGTTTGAACCCACCACCTCCGGTATATGGGGCCAGTGCCCTACACCTTTGAGCCACAGGCGCTGCCCTATATTTAATTTTTTTAAAGGGAAATATTCTTTTTTTTGAAACAGAGTCTCATTCTGTTGCCCTGGGGTTGAGTGCTATGGCATCAAAGCTTAAGCAACTTCAAATGATTCTCATGCCTCAGCTTCTGAACTGGATAGGACTATAGGCACCAGCCACAAGGCCCAGCTAATTTTTCTATTTTTAGTAGAGTAGCGATCTCACTCTTGGTCAGGCTGGTCTTAAACTCCTGAGCTCAAGCAGTCAATCGTTCTTGGCTTCCAGAGTGCTGGGATTAAAGGCATGAGCCACTATGCTAGGCCTGACATATTCTGTATTAAATATTATGAAGTAGAAAGTGTTCAGGACCAGGTTCTGGTGGGTCACACCTGTAATCCCAGCACTCTGGGAGGCCGAGGCAGGTGGATTGCTTGAGCTTACTAGTTGAAGACCGGTTCCTAGGCAAGAGTGAGACCCTGTCTTTTTCTAAAAAACAGCCGGGCGCTGTGGCAGGCACCTGTAGTCTCAGCTACTTGGGAGGCTGAGGCAAGATGATCACGTAAGTTTGAGGCTGCTGTGAGCTATGACATCACTGTACTCTACTGGGGGCAAGAAAGTGAGACCATTTCCAAACAAACAAAGTATTCAAGCATTTCAAGATAAACTCTCCAAACAAAACAAAACAAAACAAAAAAAGCAGAAAGAAAAAAATATGCTATCTTCACTGAAATAAACTTCTACAACTCCAAGCTATAATCTATAATTGCCAAACACTGGGAAATCTGGATAAAGAAGAGGAGGGTGCTAAGAGCTAACAAATGTTACATGTTACCTTAGATCAGGGATCCTCAAACTTTTTAAACAGGGGGCCAGTTCACTGTCCCTCAGACCGTTGGAGGGCCAGACTGCAGGCCCCAAGATGAGTTGGCTGCTAAGCAGGACAGGCAGTGGTGACAAAAACACCCGGCAGGCCGGATAAATGTCCTAGGTGGGCTGCATGTGGCCCGCAGGCCATAGTTTGAGGAAGCCTGTCTTAGATCTTCAGCAAGGTAAAGTTTTCTCTAAGTAATTGAAGGCTCTAAGCCTAGCTAATTATCTTCTAAAATGATACAGATCTAGTGGCATGACTGGACCACAGAAGGTCTAATATCCTTGTAGCAGTATTTTCATGTAAATAACAGACATTAAGAGGTAAATCTGAAGAAGGAAACTAATGTGCAATTTCTTTGATCTAAAACTTAAGCTTCCAGCCAGGCATGGTGGCTCATGCCTGTAATCCTAGCATTCTGGGAGGCAGGGGCAGGTGGATTGCTTTAGCTCTAAAGTTTGAGACCAGCCTAAGCAAGAGTGAGACCCTGTCTGTACTATGAATACAAAAAAAAAACTAGCCAGGTGTGGCAGCAGGAACCTGTAATCCCAGCTATTTGGGAAGCTGAGGTAAGAGGGTCACTTGAGCCCAAAGTTTGAGGTGGCTGTGAGTTATGACACATGGCATTCTACCCATGGCAACAGAATGAGAGACTGTCTCAATAATAAATAAATAAATAAAATAAAACTTATACTTCTTGTCTAAGGGAGACTATCCAAAGAAAGAAGTGAAAGGAGAAGGAAGCCAACTCTTAACATAAAGAGCACAGGGAATCTCATCTGTCTTGTGTTAAAATTCAGAAATTTAGAACGAATGTCCAAAAACTTTATGGCAAATTGGTAATGCTATGACATTTATTTATTTATTTTAGATATAGGGTATTGTTCTGATGCCCAAGTTGAAATGCACTGGCACAATCATAGCCCTCTGTAGCTTCTAATGCCTGGCCTCCTGCTTTAGCCTCCTTAGTGACTGGGACTATAAACACACACCACCACACCCAGCTAATTAAAAAAAAAATATTTTGTAGAGATGGGGTCCTGCTATGTTGTCTAGGCTGATCCAGAACTCCTGAGCTTAAGCAATCCTCCCACCTTGGCCTCCCAAAGCACAGAAATGATAGGTATGAGTCACTAGGCCTAGCATGCTGTGACATGCTGATGTACTTCGAAGCTCTATAGAAAACAAAACCAAATTTTAAAAATGGTAATCCTTTGGAATGGAGATAATTCTACCAATCATGAGCTGCCTACACAAAGACCATTAGCCAAAGGAATACCTGGAATGGAAGAACACGCCAAAAGATTTTTAAGGATTGTCACAATACTAAAGCCGGTATAGTAGATATGACAGGCCCAGGATATGCTTTGTTTCCATCCTTTCCTTACAAATGTATACTACTTTACAATCTTCTCATTCATCCTTAATGGGAATATGTGCCTACAACACTGCCTGAAGTTGTTTTTAAAATAATACTGTAATACGTGTATTTATAAGCCCAATTTTTTTTTTTTTTTAGACAGAGCCTCAAGCTGTCCCCCTGGGTAGAGTGTCGTGGCATAGCTCACAGCAACCTTCAACTCCTGGGCTCAAGCAAGTCTCCTGCCTCCACCTCCCAAGTTGCTGGGACCACAGGCACCCACCACAACGCCTGGCTATTTTTTTGGGTTGCAGCCATTACTGTTGTTTGGCGGGCCCAGGCTGGATTAGAACCTGCCACCTTAGGTGTATGTGGCTGGCGCCTTAGCCACTTAAGCCACAGGTGCCGAGCCTATAAGCCCAAATCTATTAAAAAAAAAATAAACTGTATAAAGAGTCTGTGATGAGAAGTAGATTATTATGGCAGACTTCAGTTAGGGACATTACCACAGGTCTTTTCAAAAATGAGGAACATGTCCTAAGGTTAAAATTATCTTGATACCTCAGATCATTTGTGAATGAGACAGAAGTACACATATAAATGTGATACTTGAATTGTATGTAAGTCTATGGCACAGCCTAAAGACCGCATAGGCAATGAAATAGCAGCACAGTATAGTTCCCCTACAAAATGAAGAGTTCCACTTAAGAACTGTAATCAATATAAATCTCTAAGGAAGGGCAAATTCTCAAAAGACTTGTGTTTGGATATCCACCCCCTTACCCAGACTCCCCCATTTCCCAACCCTTGGGGAAAAGGGTTAGCTGTTTGACAAAGTATAGATTTTTTAATTTATGCTGGAGAAGATTAAAGTGGTCACCTCTAGGACCAAGCTACAGCCTGAGTTATAACGGAATTGTTTTTCTCAGGTTACAGTTACATTAGGAATTAGCTAATCTGATGAACTGACCTCTGGTCTGAAACTACTTATTTTTAGGTCTAATTATTATTTCATGTCAGGGTACTCCTTATTAGTTTAGTTTTATAAAAGAGCTCTGTGTTAAGGTTCTAGGCAAAAACAATAAAAATTTTTCTTTGTCACTGAAAATCGATGTGTATAAATCCAACATCGCTAGGTTGCTAGGTTAATACTATATAATAGGAAACAAAACCTCTTCATAACCCTGTTTGCATCATGTTATTGCCCTTTCCCATCTCTTTGATTCTGCCACAAAAAAATTTTGCAAATGCTGTACTAGAACTTGATAGTTACAAGGAAAATTAGACATTAAATGAAAAAAAATCTGAATAGATATCCAAGAACATTATTTTGAATCACTATTTTGAAACAGTTATCTCAGAGAGCTCAAAAGATCATGTCTCTAGAAAGTTATGTAAATTCATTTAGTAGTATTTAAAACATAGTATCATCCATAGGATGTCTAATATAATTGCTGCATAACAGTTTTGGAACTGATATTTTATTATCACTGTATCTCCTATCAATGTCCTGCCAATTAAAAGATTTTTCAAGAGGAATAGAATGGAAACCAAACTACTGATGAAACCATTATTTCTCAAAGAGTACTTACTCTACAGACAACCTTAGACTATCTTACAGTACTTTTTAAAGAACACATCTCCGAGGCATTATTTTTGGAAATTCTGATTTATCACATTGGGGGAGAATACAGGAATCTTCATTTTTAAAAAAAGCTTAGGTGGGTGGTGCCTATGGCTCAGTGAGTAGGGCTCTGGCCCCATATACCAAGGATGGTGGGTTCAAACACAGCCCTGGCACAACTGCAACAAAAAAATAGCCAGGCTTTGTGGTGGGCACCTGTAGTCCCAGCTACTCAGGAGGCTGAGGTAAGAGAATCACCTAAGCCCAAGAGCTGCAGGTTGCTGTGAGCTATGATGCCACAGCACTCTACTGAGGGTGATAAAGTGACTCTGTCTCTTAAAAAAAAAAAAGCTTACAGGTGATTTTTATGCAAAATAACTTCTATTAATTAGAAGATTAACTTACTGATTGAGAACCAACTACTGGATTAGAACTTTATTCCTCTCAAAGACTACATCAGTTCTCTAAGAACTCTATCATCTCTACATAGATAATAATGTTTAATGCATACACTTGTAGAATGAATACTGCCATATTGATTTTAACACTGAAATTGTTTTTAAACCATCCTATACTCTTTAATTCAGATAATTTAGAAATGAGAAAATAATACTGAAATATATTTCAAATATTACTGATACAGGCATCAGTATCATTATCAGTTTTAATAAAAATGAATGTTCTTACCATGCCATGATCAAATGTGAACACACCAACATCACGTCCATGATGAATATGATTCCGTCTAATAATTGGGTTTCCATGATTTTTAACCCAAATCCCAGCTAAAGCATTATTGGAAATTTCATTATCCTCATATATTCCCTAAAACCACCAGAAACAAACATTAGTAGAGTTTTTAAAAATAAATTAAATAGAAAATAAAAGCCCAAATTCAAAAATACCTGTGCATGATCTGTTATATAAAGTCCAACATTTTCACAGTCGCTGATGTTACAGTGCTTGATAGTAGGACATGCTCCTTGACCACTAACACATACTGCAGAACCAACTGTAAGAAAATTTATTTATTAAAAACCTACTGGCAACAACACACTGACTCAATTTCATTGTCAAAGATAAAGAAAACACTAACCTGTACATGTACTTCGGATGATACAGTGATCAATAATAGGACTACAATTTACTGTAATCTCTAAGCAGTGGTGTGCATTGTGGTGTTGGGCAGATTTGTCATCAGGGTTAAACTGCAAAGTAGAAATTTTGTTTCGAATAAACAACCACCAACATGTTTATGATTTTAACCCACTTTTTTTTTTTAATTATTGTTCAGGATTCATTGAGGGTACAAAAGAATTAGGTTATATTAATTACATTTGTTAAAGTCCCTCTTTATAAATCTGTCCTGGCCCCAAGAGGTGTGCCATACACTGTGAGCCCCCGCCCCATTCTCCTATCCCACCCCTTGTATCAGCTCATCTACTGCCTTCATATTAGAATCGAGTACATTGAATTCTTGCTTCTCCATTCTTGTGATGTTTTACTAAGAAGAATGTCAACACAAGTATCTTAAATCTTAAAATTACTTACCCTTATTGTCATATATCCAACATAAGCATCTTCAGAGCCTTCCATAAAAACAAAGGTTGAATCTCTAGTGTTTTCAATTATAACTTTGTCTGCTACTTTTCCAGGTGCTGTGGAAAAGTTGTTTTAAGACATATTACCTATATTCCATTTCAATAGATGGGTACATTAACAGAGGGGAAATTTTTAAAACAGTATTGAGTAGCAGGACTAATTTACACTTCATCGGTTAACTATGTTTTATTAGCCTTTACAACAAGCAGTTGTATTTAAGGAGGGATATTACTTGATTACCATTATACCCAAATCCACGAATAATAATATTTGTGATAAGATTGAACAACAAATAGCATTAACAACAAATGCAATGGCATATGAAAAAAATGGTTTCTCATGAAAACAAAAACACTACCAGCAGCAGTGCTAGAAAAAGCAGCTCAGAGAAAAAGAGACCTCTTTATTTAAATTTATTTCCAACAGTGTTCTCAAGAATCACCAAAAATTTGCCATACTCCCTCCTTCTCTTCTTTATGAGGAGATGGGGCAGAGAAACAGAAGAAGCCAAGGCAAATTTCATTAGGAAATAATAATTATTAGCCATCTTAAAGTCATCTCCATACTTTATCTTCAAAAAACGAGATAGCACAAATGTTCAAATGACTCAATGTTCAAAAGATATTTCATTACATTTACTCTTAGAAATCTGATCACGAAACAGCTTTGAAATAGTACAAAAAGTATTTATTTATTTTGAGACAGAGTCTCATTATGTCCCCCGTGGTAGAGTGCGGTGGCATCACAGCTCACAGTAACCTCCAGCTCTTGGGCTTAAGAGATTCTCTTGCCTCAGCCTCCCAAGTAGCTGGGACTACAGGCAACCTTGCCACAACAACTGGCTATTTTTTGTTGCAACTGTCATTGTTTAGCAGGTCCAGGATGGGCTTGAACATGCCAGCCTTGTTGTAATGTGGCTGGCACCCTACTCACTGAGCTATGGGCTCCAAGCCACAAAAAGTATTTAAAAATTCATTTCAGTTCCCTTAAAACCTCAGCCAATAAAAACATTAGTATCTTTATTTTTATTTTCTTTTTCTTTCTTTCTTTTTTTGCAGTTTTGGCTGGGGCTGGGTTTGAACCCCCCACTTCCAGTATATGGGGTCAGTACCCCACTCCTTGAGCCACAGGTGCCCCCCAGTATCTTTACTTTCAAATAAAAAATAAATCAGATATTTTTCTTTGTTCAGTAAATAAAGGCAATTGGAAAAAGTATTGACATCATGAAATATGTACAATCTAGGCCAAGTGTGGTGGCTCACACCTGTAATCCTAGCATTCTGGGAGGTTGAGGGAGGTGGATTACTTGAACTCATGGGTTCAAGACCAGCCTGAGCAAAAAGTGAGACCCTGTCTCTACTAAAAATAGAAAAACTCAGGCAAGAGGATCGCTTAAGCCTGAGATGGAGGTTGCTGTGAGCTATAACATCACGGCATTCTACTGAAGGCTACAGCTTGAGACTGTCTCCAAAAAAAAAAAAAAAATCTATAATTTTTGAACTCATAATGTTTTCATTTTATTCATATAAAATGTGATATCTTGATTATCTTATCAGTAAGGCATTATCAAAGTTCAATCAGATTTTAAATCACCAGCATTTTAAAATCCTCTCATATAAATCAAATGATATGAATAAAATAAATGCATTCGAAATACCTGCACCAATCATGGTGATTGGAGATTCAATATATATCCATTCATCAGTGTATATTCCAGAATGAACAAAGATAAGTCCATCAAAATGGGCTTCTTGTACCCCACCAAGAGCATCTTCAATAGTATCATAATACTAGAAAAAAATAACAGTGTCAGTATAGAACTGAGAGATTACCATTTTAAGCCAGAAAAACACAAACCAAACATACCAACATATTTTCTCTTCCTTTGTATCTTGCAGGGTTACTGTAGAAATGTTCAGCAAATCCTGGCTTTACATGTGCACCTTTATACTAAAATGCCAAAAACAAAACATTTACAGATATAAACATTATATTCTCTTTTTTTTTTTTTTTAGACAGAGCCTCAAGCTATAGCCCTGGGTAGAGTGCTGTGGCGACATAGCTCACAGCAACCTCCAACTCCTGGGCTTAAGCGATTCTCTTGCCTCAGCCTCCCAAGTAGCTGGGACTATAGGTGCCCACCACAACACCTAGCGACTTTTTGGTTGTAATTATCATTGTTTGGCAGGCCCAGGCTGGATTCGAAGCCACCAGAGCTCTGGTGTATGTGGCTGGTGCCTTAGCCGATTGAGCTACAGGCACCACTGTAAACATTATATTCTAAAATTAATATACCACACATGAATAACTTTTATTAAATATCAAAAATAATTCTAAATTATTTCAAATAATTTTCTGTCACAGAGTATAATATAAAATCTGGAACAGAATACAACTCAGGAATAATCAGGAAAGAACAGTGTTTTTCATTTGCAGCACTACTGTTATTTTGGGCTAGATAATTCTTTGTTGTGGGACCTGTCCTTGCATGGTAGCCTCTATAGAGCTAAATATCAGCTGCACCCTCTTCTCCCATTGTGACAATCAAAAAATGTCTCCAAGCAAGTTGAGGGGCAAAAGAGAGAACAAAAGGGGGAGAAAATGTCTCCAGACATTGCTAAATGTCCCTTAGAGAGCAAAACATCCCCAGCTGAGGACCACTCATAAAAGACCATATGAAAATTATACTGAATGTGGCATACAAAGTCAAACAGACCCACTGAAGTCTTAACTGCTCTCAGGCTACCAATGCTTATTGTCACTAAATTATTCATAGATATGTCAGTAGTGAAAAGAACTGCTGAATATCTTACTGGTTATTGGGACAGGGTGGAGGGAGGGGGCAGAGAGGACAGAGTCCTGCTGTGTTGCCCAGGCTGCACGTGAACTTCTAGGGCTTAAGCATTCTCCCTCCTCAGCCTCCTGAGTACCTGGGACTATAGGCAAACACCACTGTGCCCAGCTATATTTATTTTTTTAAAAGAATCTTTGATTTATAGATATATAATATAAATCAGTATTTTCTATTTATACTTCATACCAACTGCTGGAAACTCTCTTTCCAAGGATTTGGATGTTCATATTCTTCTGGATTAATCTGGTAGAATTTACCAGGTTCAGGATGCATCATAGGGCGGGTATATTCAAACACTTCCATGTATAATCGTTTCCTAAAGGGAAAAAGGAATTAAGAACTTTTTTTTTTTAAGACAGAGCCTCAAGCTATCCCCCAGGTGGAGTGCCGTGGCATCACAGCTCACAGCAACCTCCAACTCTTGGGCTCAAGC